AAATTCTAATGGAAAGCACGACCACTAAAGCAACCTTGCAGAAAATACTCAGTGGGAAATAGAGACGCGGAGGCCACAGGCTCCACGGAGCCCCAGGAGAGTCTCCATCTAATGGGGGGAGTCACTGAACAGTAGAAAAAGATCAAAGGAATCAGCACCAGAAAAGTAATGCAATAACGGGCTTCAGTAAACACCTCACAGTAACTGTCAGTCACTAAGGTCTCAGCTATCCAATCAAAAGACACAGACTAGCAGATCAGGTTAAAAAAGAAAAGCAACCCTATAATCGCCCACAGGAGACACACCTCATCCAGAGGGAAGCGCAGAGCAGAGAGCGTTCTCCGCGCGGACGGAGCTCGAAAGCAAGCAGGAGCAGCACTCTCATCTTCAGACCCCACAGACTTCAGCCAAAACTGATCAGAAGAGGCAAAAACTCCCCCTTCAGCCTAGTACAGGGAGCAATTCAACAGGAAGAGGTGACAGTCATAAGTATCTCTGTACCTCACGTTGGTGTCCCCACTTCATAAAACAAAAACTACTGAACTTGACAGGACAGACAGACAGACACTGATACAGACAGACACAGAGAGAGTTGTAGTGGGGGACTTCACCCACCTCTCACAATCAGATGGGTCAACCAGACTGAAAATGAGCAAAGAAGTATCTGAGTTCTACCATAGCACTGAGGAACTGGACTGAACAGAGGCCTAGAGAGTTTCGCCCAGCGCAGAATGTGCCTTTTTCTCGGCAGCAAGTGGAACCTTTTCCAAAACAGAACACACGTTAGGCCAGAAAGAAGCACAAATAGATACAGGAGAACTGAGTGATCCCCTGAGTGCTACCAGATCACAGCGAAGTGAAGCTGCATATCAACAGCAAGAGAAAGCACACAAACACACAGACATTAGACAGTAATTATTGACTAGTCAACTGATCACAGAAGAAATCAGGAAAGAAATGAAAAGTTCACAGCATCACCTGACACAGCAGCACAACATGCTGAAGCCTCTGGGACACAGTGAAAGCAGCTCCAAGAGGGAAGTTTGTAGCTGTGAAAGCAAGTGTTACAAGAATTGAGCAACCCGAGTAAACATGATGTCTCTCAAGTTCCTAGAAAAATACAGGCAATTCAACTCTGAAATTATTTTATTTTATTGATCCTAGGAATTGAACTCAGGACATTGTGCTTGCCAGGCAAGCACTTGTACCACTGTGCTATATCCCTGGCTCAAATCTAAAATTAGTAGAAGGAAAGAAATTATAACAATCAGAGCAGAAATTAATGACATTGAGACAAAAGAGGATAAATGAATCAAAGAGTTGGTTGTTTGAAAGGATAAACAAGGTTGATAAATCCTTAGTCAAACTGATCCAAAAGCAGAGGAGAGAACATATCAGTGTGATTAGAAATGAAAAAAGTGAAATCACAACTGATACTACTGGAGCCCAGGATTTTATAAGAAACTACAGTGGTGCCTCAGTTCACGAACTTAACTCTTTCCACGATTCTGGTCTCAAACTGAACTGGACGAGAGCCGAATCAAATCCACTGGTTAGGTTCAGTGTTGACTTTATGGGGAAATTTGATTCGGTTCTCATCCAATTCAGTTTGTGACCAGAATCCTAGAAAGAATTAAGTTCACGAACTGAGCAACCACTGTACTGTGAAAACTTATATTCCAATAAATTTGAGAACCCGGAAGAAATGGAGAAATTTCTAGACACATAGGAATTACCAAAATTGAACAAATAAGACACAAAAACTCTGAACAGACCAATAACATGCAAAGAAACAGAGGCATTGGTAAAAACTCTACCAATGAGGAAAAGCCCACGACCTCACAGATTCACCCCAGAATTCTACCAGAACTTCAGGGAAGAGGTAACGCTGATACTTCTTAAACTCTTGAATGAAACTGGAAGGGAAGGAGTCCTGCCAAACTCATTCCTGGAAGCTAGCATTACCCCAATACCAAAACTGCACAAGAACTTAACCAAAAAAGAAAACTACAAGCCAATCCTCTTAATGAGCAAGATGCAAAAATCTTCAAGGGCAAACAGAATGCAACAAGTCATTAAAAAGATCATACATCATGACCAAGTTGGCTTTATCCCAGGGACGAAGGAATGATTCAAGATACATAAATCAACACATGTTTTGGGTTTTTTTTGTTTGTTTTTTTGTTTGTTTTTTTCCGGTACCGGGAACTGAACTCACGACCTTGCACTTGCCAGGCAGCTACTGTGCCGCTGAGCTAAATCCCCAACCCCAAATCAACAAATGTAATAAACAGGAGCAAGGACAGGAGTCATGATCATCTCAATAGCTGCAGAAAAAGCCTTTGACAAAATCCAACATCTGTTCATGAAAAAAAACAAAAAAACAAAGAAACTGCGCATGAAGGACCTCATCTCAGTCTAATGAAGTCATGGATGACAAACCCGCTGCCCACCTCACACTGACCGGGGAAAACTGCAAGCTCCCCACTAAGACAAGGCTTCCATTCTCACCTCTCCTGTTCAGCAGAGTACTTGAGACTTTAGCCAGAGAAACCAGACAAGAGAAAGAAATAAAACGGATATGTATAGGGAAGGAAGAAATCAATTTGTCTTTATTCACAGATGATGTGACCCTTTACATAGAAGGCCCAAAAACTCCACCAAAAGACTCTCAGAACAATAAACAGTTCATCAAAGCAGCAAGTTATAAAATGAATGCACAAAAATCAACAGCATTCCTGTATACCAATAATATACCCACCAAGAAAGAAATTAGGGAATCAGACCCATTCACAATAATTTAAAATTTAAAAATTCAGTATTGTACTTAGCAATTAGCCTAACCAAGGAAGTGAAAGAACTCTATAACAAAAATGCTACAGTACTCTAAAAAATGACATCAAAGAGAATATCAGAAAATAGAAAGATATCCCTGTAGTCCTGCATATAGTCAAAATGGCCATACACCAGAATTCATATACACATTTAATGCAACCCAAGCAAAAGTGCCAACAGCATTCCTCACAGAACTAGAGAAAACAGTCCTAAGGTCTATATGCAACCAGAAGAGACTCAGAATAACAAAATGAATCATGGGTAACAAAAGCAAAGCAGGAGGCATTACAATTCCTGATTTCAAGTTATATCACAAAGGTACAGTGATAAAAAAAGAAAACAGCACAGTACCAGCACAAAAACAGATGTGGATCAGTGGACCAAAATAGAGGACGCAGAAACAGCCCTGGACACATTCAGCCACCTGAGCTTCCACAAAGGGGACAGAAACTCGTTGGAGGAAAGATAGCCTCTTTATTAAATGGTGCTGGGGAAACCTGGCTCTCCACACACAGAAGATTCAAGTTAGACCCCTCCCTCTTACCATGTACTAAAATAAAATAAAAATGGATCAAAGATCGAAATATTAAAACAGAACAATCCCTAATTGCACAAGGAATAACATAAAAATCAGCAGATGTGATCCTATGATAGGAAAAAGCTTCTGCACAGCCAAGGAAACCACAGTGCGCGTACAAATGATAGTGCGGGATCCGGGAGCCTGGCAGTCCCCGATACGCCCGCTGCACAGTGGCTCCCGTGGGGCCTCGGGCCTGGCCTCCCCGCCCCAAGCGCCAGTGCCAGGGACGCATGCTCTGGTCCTTGCTGTCACCTCCACCACCCCTGGTGTGGGCCCTGTCGTTGCCGCTGTGGCTCTCCAGACCTCGGCCCATGCTCGGGTCTGGCTAGTGTGTCTCCAGATGTCCAGGACGGCACACTCACTGTGTGAAGCAGCAGCACTCAGGCCCCTGGATCTGTGCCCGGGGAGAGACCGAGGCCTCCCCACATCACATCAGATGGCAGCCAATGCCAGGCCTTCCCTTGGCCACTCTGCCTGGGACTTGCATTCAGTGTTTCACCTCAGTCAGGTGGGAACCCCTAGCCCTGGAGCATGTCCCCAAAGCTGCTGCTGCCCAGGTGAGGCGGGCACTGGCAGGGAGCAAGAGGGAAGCCGCCTGCAGAGCCTCGGGTACCGATGCACCCTGCAGCCCCCTTCCTTTCTCTGTGACCTCCCCAGGACGGCCAGTGACTGACCGAGGGTCCCCAAGGAGGGCGTCTGCCTGGCTCCTGGGCCTCGCGCAGCTCAGCGGTGTCTTCCTTTTCCTCGGTGCTGTTATTGGCAGATCTGTGTGAGCACGCCACCCACTTCCGTCATCGCCACCCGCCCACGCGTCCTCCTCTCTGTCTCCTGCTCAGCTCCCCACTCCTCCAACATAAACGACATAAACGCAGTGCTCTGCCAAGAGGGTTAGGGGAGACACCCCGCCCTCCCGCAGGCTTCCTCCTAAGCAGAGCTCCCCGGCGCACCCACGCACGCCCACTGATTTGTTTATTATGTGTCTGCTTCTCCTGTGCAGCTTCTGTTGCTGTCTGTGTGGGATCCCGTCCGGGCGCTTTCGCTTTTATCTTGCTCATTATGGCATTCATTGTGATGACTGACACTGATCCCCCTCTTCTGAGTTTGTGCATTGTTGGTCTCTTGCACCTCTTTGCATTTTTTCTTCCACCTTCTGCCAAACGTCTCTTGTGGGTTTGCAGCCAGCTGGTTTGAAAGGCCGAGTCCTGGCCTTGCTGGACTGTGGTTACCTTTATAGTTCAACAGGATTTGAGCTTACATCGCTCCACCGGTGTCAAGGATTTCATGGAAAATTCGAGGCACACGCACTTCCGTTTCTTTCCCGTGTATGTCCACCCCGGATTTCTCAAGTTCTTAGCATGACCTTGACCTTGAATCCAAGTTCATCACATGGTGCACTGTCATTCAAGGGGACAGTGGACTCCAAGGTTGGTTGCTATGGCTCCTGCTCTATGGTATTTACATTTGCATTGTTCCTTACCCAATTAGCTATCACGAGTGACCCCAATCCATGTGATGGCACATCGCTGTCTGTCATATCACACTGGAACTCGGAACGTATTCCTGGTTATTGTGATTTACTTTTCAGAACACCGGTCTGATTTTTGAGAACAGAATGGAGAAAAGAAAGAGACGCTGTCCACCTTGGACGTCCTCCTCTTCACCTCCCCAGCGTGGCCAGCCTGGCACCTGAAGCACCGGCCCATTTTCCTCTGATCTAATTGAAAAAAGTGAGTCGTCAGCTGAATCATCTTTACTCATTTTTATCCTTGTGGCTACTTGTAAAATTTTTCCTTATTAAATTTCTTTTGTCGGACAGAATATCTCTAAGTGTGCCCTTCTTTACCGTCACTGCTCTGATGCTCTTCACCTGAAGGCTCACGCCTTCGCCAGCTACAGAGATGCTTTTGTTGTACCTCCTGAGTGTGTTTCCGTCACTCCCGCCTTTGTGCTCCTGCCTCCACCTCCTCACTCTTCCCAGCAGTCTCTGAGTCCCCCAGCTGTCAGGTGCTCGTCAGCCGCCCTTCTCCCTCGCGGGAACCCTCCCTCTGTCCGTGCTCCTCACGCTCCCCACATTTCTCAGTCCGGGCCTGTGTGCTGTCACCAGGGAGCATCCACCCTGACCGTGGGCTTCTCTGCGTCGGAGCGCCAGCCTCCGCAGCGCTCCTGACACGGCAGAGCAGAGCGTTTGCCTGCCGTGGCCGCAGCCTGGGCCTGCCCGGGCCTGCCTGGCTCAGCCTCTGCCTCCTCACCGCTCACTGGGAGGTGGGACCTGCGAGCCCAGGTCTTCTGGGCAGTGCTGCAGCCGCTAGCTCAGCGGGGCCTTGCGGGGCTCTGCAGACACCCTCAAGCCGGAGTGGTGCTGGCCCACAGCCCTGGGCTGCTCCCCAGGCGTGCTCAGCACTGGCTCCCTTTGCTCGTGCATTCATGCATGCATGCATTCATTCATCCAGCACAGGGCTCTGGAAACCTCTTTGTCCGGGCTGCTTCTATACAATGAGGTAGGATGGAAATAAACAGCACTCTGCCCTCCTGTGCCTCCGCTGTAGTCAAGAGACAGGCAGTGTACAACAGACTGCAGAATATAAGGGATCGTAAGTGCTACGGAAAATCCATGAAGAGCTGAAAAAGGTGCTGTTTTGTAAGGGCACTCTGGAGAAACTTTCCTAGGAGCTGTGTTAGTGGAAAAACTGGAAGAAAGCAAAGGAGGAAGCCGAGCAATGCCTGGGGAGAGCAGGACAGGGAGCAGCCTGTGAAAGGCCCTGTGGCAGGAAAGGGACGAGGCTTCCCAGGGAAGAGCAGAGGGGCCGGTGTGGCTCAGGCTGCAGCAGTGTGACCGGGCGGGGCGGGGCAGGGGCCTTCTGAGGGCCACAAGCTGAGCTGCCCTTGCTGCATTCCTCAGCCTGTGGCACCTGGCCTGTATGTGGGCCCTTTGGGAGAAGCCGTGAGCTGCACCCCTGGGCCACTGGGGCAAACTGGCCCAAGTGCTGGCACTGTCACATGCAGCCATAGCTCCCTCGTCTAGCTGTCCTCTGACACCAGGATCAGATGACCGTCGGCCGCACACTGGCCCTGTGCACCTGGTCACCGAACGGCTTTTCCTCGGGGCCTAAGTCTCACCGCAGGCTTTGGTTCATGTGAGGCAGACAACACACACCTTTACACCGATAACTCTGATATCTGTTTGTCACTGATCTCAGCAAGAACTCGCAGCCTTTCTCATCCTACATGGCGGTGTCCCAGTCCATGACTGTGGCTGAAACAGAACACCACAGGCCAGGCAAGCTATAAACAGGAGAGGTTGGCTTGGCACTTGGTCTTGGGGGCTGGAAAGTCCAGGACTGCGGCTGCCGGCAATGAGGCCCCTCTTGCTGCACCTCCAGGGCAGGGGCCAGCCCAGACTTTTATGACAAACACACTCCTGAAATAACAGCAAAAGCATTCGCGGTGTCAGAATCCTGGTGACCCAAGCACCTCTCCGAGCTTTCACCTCTCAACATCACCGCGTGGAGGATTAAGTGTCCAATGCAAAAATTTCATTTTAAAAAATATGTTTATTAGTCTATGTTTGCACTACGTAATGATTTCAATCTTCACCAGGAGCTGGTGCGTGGACCCACATCCACCTTCATGGGGAGCTGGTGCCTGGACCCACATCTGCCGTCCCCTTCTTCCCCTTCCCTTCCGTCCCCTTCCCTCCGTCTCCCGGTGCCCTTCCCACATGCAAAAGTCACCTCCCTGTTTTCTATCATCATTCTATTACTTTGCTCTTTTATTTATACTTTGGGTTCTCATAGAAGAAAATCCATGCACCATTTAAGCTTGTATGTGTGATCCATTTCACCTAACAATGTATAATTTGGGCGACACATTCAAACTATCACCATGGATAAATACATAATGGTTTGTATCAGTATAGATTTCTATCAAGAAATTCTTCCCTTGTGCTCACTTCCTGGGAACCCATATGGATTTGTCATCAAAACCTTTTTACCGGTCATTTAAATGTTGAAGTTTGTTCCCAGCCCAAATGTTCAGATGAGCAACCCCTGGATGAGTTATAGGGCTTCGCAAAGTTATCACCTACAATCACATGGTTTTCCTTTAAAAGCCATTTTCAGGAGGAGACACGTCATTTCCACAGCGTATGAATCAGCTGAGCTGCTGAGAAAAGCGTTGCCACCTACCCGCACCTATTAAGGCAGCTGTCACTCAACACTGGCTATTGTGTCAAGCTGCACAGTGAGTGACAGTAAGTGGGCTTGGAGAAGCCAGCCCTGTGTAACGTGGGGGCTGCATGGCAGGTGGCCCGGGGACATCCGAGGCCGTGTGGTGTCGCTGACCCCTACCGTGCCTTACAGCTGGTATTGCCAATGGCAGCAACACAGTGCCCTTGCAGAGGCGCAGGGTTCACCATGCCCGGAATGACCCGGTGTCGCCTCCCTGAGGAGCAGGGTGATCTTCGCAGGGAGTCTGGCCGGCCAGCCTCGAACCAGTCCAGCAAGGGCTGCCGTGTCTGTGGAAGAGAAAGATCTGAATCCAGCGGCCCCAGGTTGGCAGGAAACCGTGTCTCATCTCGTCCCACCCTACTGAGGGTTCCAAAAACCTTATCTGCGGTGCTGCCAGCAGCAGCTGCTTCAACCAGGTAACTTTAGAAGATGAATTGACCCAGGATGTTCTAAAATGTGCAATCTAAGCAGCAGTTCCTCCAGACTCTTTTTGGGTAACAGGAGGGGCACAAATTATTAATATCCAGATGAAACAGGAGCGGTTCCCAGGCTGCAGAGTCCATGTGTGTGAAATTTAAATCTTTGAGTGGTGACTGATGGTGCTGGGAAAGGCATACCTTCAGGAATCCCACACGTCCAGCTGTCCTCGTCTGATGTAGAGCGGGGCCATGGGGAACGCTCATGGGGCATGTGTTTATGACCAGCGATGTAAGCAAAGGAGGAATTTTAATGACAATGACAATTTACATCTCAGCAGGGCAAGCAAGCTCTGCCCACCCCGTTTGTCCAGACTCATACATGCTGAGCAGTTGCCTTCTCCCCCGTGGCCTGCGATCCATGCTCGCTGCCGCTGGGGAAGCTATGACAGTAGTACCCACCAAGCACTCTGCTTCCAAGTGACTTCCTCCAGGAGAACTGATTGCCAGTGGTTTTCAAGGAAGCAGACAGCCAAAACTTGGATTCAAGCAAAATTGCCTCATGTGAGACCATCCCAGGTGCAGAAAAGCCACAGATGCGCCCTCCCGACAGCCACCATCTTCTACAGCTCAAGTTGAACCATGTGGGGGACTGTATAGGGGACACACTGCAGAGCGAGCCTCTGCCCCCAGGATGTTTGCACAGTGACTCCCCCTGTGCTGGAGCAGAGTCCTTCTTCAGCCCAAGAAAGCCCCGAGGCAATGGGGTGCTGCCTGGCGTGCTGCAGTGAGTTCAAGAATGTGAGCAGGATGCCCACAGTCCGAGACCCACACCCACGCACCGACCTGATGGCTGTCCCAAGCGCAGGACCACAGGTGGCTCACACTCCTAGCAGTCCTGCCACATAGCGGACACTTACTGCCCACAAGATGCATTCCTAGGAGTGGAATTGCCTGTTCCAGGGAGGGTCAGGTTTGTCGTTTGTTTTGGTTTTGTTCTTTAAGTGTTTTTTTTTTGTTTGTTTGTTTTTTTTTTTGGTAGTTGCTGTGGGTTTTTGGTTTTTTTCCTTTGGGTTTTTTTTTTTTTTTTTTTTGGCAAGATCTACTGCCAAACTGCTTTTGGAGGAGCCTTCACCAACTGGCCCTCTGACCTACAGCACATCTGAATTCCCTGGGCCCTGCTTTGGGGGGTCTTGATATTTCCTGTGCAGTGGAATTGTTCATGCCGGGGTTCTCGTCTTTTCACCCTCATTTTTAGGTGAGATTTACAGGCAGTAACATTCACTTATTGTACTGAACAGTTCTGGGGGCTGGGAATTTAGCTCAGCGGCAAAGCGCCTGCCTGGCAAGCACAAGGTCGTGAGTTTGGTTCCCGGTACCAGAGAAAAACCAAAAAAAAAAAAAAAGAACAGTTCTGTGACATTTAACAAGTGCATGTAACTGTATAACCACCACTAAGATAAAAAATTAGTTCTCTGATGCCAGGAGAAACATACACATGCCTCTTTATAATCAGCCTTTCCCCTACACTCAACCCCCAGCAACCACTGACAGGTTTTGTATTTCTATAATGTCGCCTTTTCCAAATTCTCATGTAAATGGAAGCCCAGACCATATAGCCTTTCAGGTATGGCTTCTCTAATGTAGCAGAAGGCACCTGTGATGTCATTTGTGTCAATGGTTCCTTCCTCCTTATTACTGAGTTGGAGGTACTGCAGTGTGTTTGTCGGCTCATCTACTGGGGGCCATGTGTGTTGTTTCCAGTTTGTGTTGTGAATAAACATCCAGCACCGGCTTTTGTGTCAGCACAGACCTCGTTTCATCGGGGTGAACACCTGTGACGGCACTGGGCCGTGTGGTAAGTGCGCTTAACTTCATAAGGAACTTCTAGCATGTTCTCCCAGTGGCTGCATCACTCTTCATCCCCAGCCTGCAAGGCCCAGTCAGTCCGCATCCACCCGTGCTGGGCATCAGTGATGCACCAGCCGGCTTCCTGTCGCTGGGAAACCACACCCACATCCACAGCTGAAAGGACAGGTTTATTTTGGCTCACGGTTTCCGTCCACGGTCAGCTGGCTCCGAAGCAGAACTGTGTGGAGGAAGGGCCTGGCGGAGGAGAGCTGCTCCCCCCATGGTGGCCAGGAAGCAGAGAGGGATGGGCCAGAACAGGACTACA